ATAATTTTAGGGATTCCATATGAGTTCTGTTTTGTGATCAAGAGTGACTATTGCTTACCTCTACTGCATTAAGAACAATCTATCTCAGTGATATTTTGAACAACAAACTGGAAAAAGCCAAAATGTATACTGTTGGTCCACTATATGTCGTAGATATAACTTATCGAAACTATTGAACGCTTGCAGTATAAGAGTTTATTTTATCTACTACATTTTTCCCAGAGAACGACAATAAATTAATCGGTTCTCGAAGTAATGTGTTTCGGTTACTGATTTTTCATAGTCACCCTTTAATTGCATCTCTTATGGTACGCCTATCTTACCTGTTTCTGCCTGTATGACTCTATTCACCAAACACATTTTCTAAATAATCAGAAAGGCATTTTTGTCCTCTTTCGTATATGAAGACTATAATTATTAGCCTGACGTGTGCTGTGGCGGATACTTTTGTGTAATTCACTAACGAACCTGAACTAACGAAGGAACAGTGATACGTATCCGGTTATCCAGCAATTACACTGATTCGGTGATACAGAAATATTGGCATGATGTCATTTGTTACTGCTAGGACAGAAAATAGGAGAAATAAACATCATCCGTACTTCCCTAGATATTCTGATTGATTGTGAAATTCCATGACGGACGCATAAGTCGCGTCTATCACATATCACAACCTACCAAGCACTATTATACTTATTACAACAGACTATTGACATTACGAGGCTTGCAGTCAGATAATACTTATGGTTTTTATGTCCGTGCGTCTGCTCGTTTATAATGTGGTTAGAATTGGTGTTTATAAATCGTCTTGTTTACTTGTGCTAATGTGCCAACTTAGGTGAAGCATTTCCTCATTAGTGGTTCTGGTCGCGGCATGTATTGGGCCGGGTATTTACGGCTCATTATTGGAAGTCAGAACAAATGAGAACATCCGGTTAAACTACTAAAGGAATTAATTCTTATTATCTTTATTAAGATAATCATAACAGACATTTTTACCAATAACATTCATCTTACAAATATTCTCACTTTTTATTACTAAATGAAAACTGAATACCGTGTCATCATTCGTTCATTTATGTGATTTTCTTGGTTACTGATAGGTAATTTCGTTGCATTTTGCACTCAGTCTGAACGTCAATGGTCTATTCGCGAATCTATAATTGCAACATAATCTTACATCTTAGACATTTTCAATCATATTACACACTCTAAGTCTACTTTAACCAAACCTTCAGTAATTAACTCTTGATTAGACTTGGCTGTATTAGACTATTTTGTTACGGCTTGATGCTGAAATACTATCTACAAAGTTTTACTGAGTTGGATTACCCGTTATACCCACGGATAAACGTTTCTCGAAATTAACAGAGCTCTTATGTTCGCGAAACTCAGGCGATTAGAACCTGAAAATTTTATATCATTTGAAACAATTTCGATTTTATACCACAGTTGAAAATTATTAGTCCCCATGATTTCCAATGAGCCTCAGCAACGCACATAATCACTGGGTAACATGTTGTGATGTTCCAGACATGTACCAAGCATCACATATTCTAGATTTCTTAGATGGGCAGCAAGGTATTGCTATACCTACCAAAACATAATTTATCCAATCCATATCACGATGTTCCAGTTGCTGAGGGAGATATGTCTAAGATATGTACAATCCAATTTGAAGGCTTTGTTCTGGGAAAATCCCTCCATGTATATGTGTTAAATTCGACAGGGGACAGTGTAATGTTGTTTAGGCAATTATCTAATTAATAATAGAGCCGTTTCTTACCCAGATAGTCCGCAGACAGTCTCGATACATGTAGGAAGATAAGTTCGTGGTTTACTCGGATTGTAAGCCAGTGATACACCCTTCCAGCAGGCAAGTGGCTTCAAGTTAGGGAATATCATTTTATAGACACTGAATCGGAAACTAACGTTTGCATCTCCCTTGTCTGCTTAAATTAAAACTATCTTTAGAGGTGGTGTTATTTTCTCACTCTGCTTGAGAGTTCTGGATGCGGAGCCTCTTATTGTTAAAAAACGTGAAGAGTTCGCATTCCTCGAATGAGATTTGTCAGTATCATGATTCAATAACGCAAGGGCGACTATATTATCAATAAACAACGACCGTTCTAGAGCTTGACGATGGAGGAAGATGTGGCTAATAAATCCGTAAACGGAAACCATCGTGCTCTCAGAGTCATATTTCAATGAACTTTCGGTGAAATAAAATGAAGCAAATAGTCTGTGAGCCACTCGAATTAAATATATCACCGATAGTCGTTTTAGAGGTAACGAACGCTCTTCATGCACACGATGGTTATTACCGTCGATGATACCAGGACTCTTTCCTACACCTTTGCAAACAGCAGAGTTATAGCTCTACCGAATTTTCCATCTTCCTTAAAATCAGATTATGGTAAGGTGTCAGAGCCTAGTAACTTGTGACACTTCAAAAGTAGAAGTCCTCCGTCCACCTGTACTCCAGCAGTGATTACCTTTCATAGAGTACAGGGCAGTTTGACTAATGTGGGTGGAACACTCAACTAGATGAAATGCTTTAGTTGCATGGGATCTGCACCTAATTTAGACTAACGACTAGATAACCCAATGAAAGAGATCCCCCGACCTAATTTCCGTACATAACCCGTGGGTGAACCGCTTTTATGCAATGCAGATAACTAAGAGCCTATTACAGCTGTATAAATTTACTTCTCTTTAGCGTCAACAGATGTATCATGAGTGTTATGTCAAAAGATATTAGTTGAAAAATCTATGGATTTAATGAATAATGTGGCCATTTGAAAAAAGGTTAATTTAAATTTTACTGAATATTGTTTTAATCCTAAGAACGGACACATTTAACAGTCTTGAACCTACATAATGTTCCAAATGCAACGCGTAACCGATAAAATGTATTGAAGCATGAACCCCCATTGAGTAGATTCACTCGATCTTGATAAAAATTATCAAAGCAATAAATATTAAATATATGCTCATAAACTTCAGTCAAAACCACAGGTGTATTTCTATAGAAAAGTACTCTAAATATCTGTTTCTTGAAACAAAGAATGTCAGTATATAGGAAAACATATTGTTCAGAAAATGTACATCACTAATCGACTACTTTTGAAATATCAATTATCATATATGTGCACATCTTTATGCACTTGTAGTGTTTACATATATTTTGAGGCATTATTTACTTTTTCTAACATGTATACTATACAAAATTGAATTAGTAACAAAATTTAAGAATAAGATTTACAAAAATAAAATATGGGAGATATATCACTAGATGGGGGGAACGAAGCAAAATAATTAGATAAGTTGAAATGTTCTACGGTAGCAATGTAAACTGATTTAGTAGAATTGTTCGATGAAGAAAAAATTGGACATATGATTGAAACATAAGATGTGGAATAATTTCTGGAACTTCGTTGTTTGTTTGTTGTAGTCTGACCTTGATTCCGAATTGACGGCAAATGCTTCATATAAAATTCTAGTAAAATAGAGTTTAATGAATGTGGTTCATAAGGAATGTGAACAGGTGGTATATACTTTGGATTATAGTTACATGTCATCCGACGGTTGTTCGCAAAACAGACGAAAGAATTTTGCTCTTTTTTCATAAGACTAGAATGAGCTTTATCATCGGGAAGGGTAGTAATGATTACGTCAAATGGTTTGACAATGCTGTCAACTATACGGGGGCAGTTTTTAATATTATCCAGTGTTTCAAATATAACACCGCCATTGTGATTATTATTATTACTGATGTCAGTGTTGCACCGTAATGATAATTCTCTAAAAACATATGGAGTGGGAGTGGGTAAACGACGACGACCAGGTAGACTGGGACCAAGAGTTTTCCAAGTTATCAGCCGATTTAAAGGATATGACGTAGTTGAATCCTTGAACGGCGGTAGCATCTTCAAATAAAAGAACTACAGTTATTTCATATCATGAAAGTAGATAGAAACTGTATACGAAAAAGTGCGATATCCCCAATTTACTCAAATATAATAATGATTTATAAATCAATAATTGTGACCTGGTGTAAGAGAATTCAGGTCATGTTTGCGACTGTATGAATACTAGGTTATTAAGATTCACAACAAAAACAGAAGATAGAAATATTGTTGTAATATCAAACGACCACTATTTTAATGTTTAACAAACAAGAGGAAGACGATAGATTATGACTATCAATAATAATTTCACTTTGTTGCAGTTTAGAGGCAATTTTTATGAATTTATCGAGTAACTGTATAGAATAAATAGCATAAAGAATACAAGAATGGCTGTTAATGGTAACTTTATTCATGCAGAAAAAAAAGGTTTAACGAACGAATTGGTAACCTTGAATTGTGAGTGCTAATAACTAAGAAGACGACACATCGTAATAGGAAGCGATTTGTAGAAAAAACTTACATTTTAGAATCAATTTTCAATTACGAGCTAAAAACCAGCTGAAAAACCATGGAAACTACCAGCTGGAATGGAAAGTTTTGGTTTACTTAAGTAAGCTTGAAACTAAATGTTAAATGGAATTGAGTCAAAAAACTTTTATTCCTCACAATTGAACGCGATAACTATGGATCAGTGCGTCAAAATAAAGTGATCGATATCACCGACATTGGTCAAACTTTTTTGATCGAGAACAGCCGTCATAAAGAAAATCTTAAATTATCTGAGATAAGAGCTTCAATACATTCTGTGAGTGGTTTTGATGCATTCTTTATCGACTGTATTAGACAAGGAGACTGAATGAGCGACCGAGTTTATGCTACCACTGAATCAAATATTCGCAACTAAATTCCGTAAGACCAGATGACATGATTCACGACCAAAATGGAGAATCAAAGTTACAGATAGACGATAATTTATTCCATGTAGTAAAACACATAATACATTAAAAAAAACCTAAACAGTTGTTTAGAATAGCTTGAAGATTGATGTCAGTGGTTCGGTACAAGTGTGGTGCCGTGGTGCGAGCTACTTACAAGTAGTATATGACGTGAGCGTCAACGTAATGTCTGGCAGCCGAAGATGAGGGAAGATCAAGAAATGAAGAGTTAGAAAACAATGGAATTTGTATGAAACGCATGAATAGTGACAATGGATTGATGTTTTGCAACAGGAACAGTCCAGTTCGATATGATGAACTGATATTTTGCACTAATGCTCTAATCAACTAAGGTCATTGATATAAATAATAATGTACTCTATTCTAGACAATCAGTTCAAAAAATTTGACCTTCGTAAAAAGTTTAACTTAAGAGTAGCTACTCAGAAATATTCACTACGTTATCGGATTGGACAGAAATAATCAGTTATCAGTTATAATTAACGTTTATTTTTTATTAATCTTTGTTTATTCTGTAATATGAAAGTTTGCTTTTCTTTCTCTAATATTCAAGGATTAATTTTCTTTGTTATAACATAAGTCTGCACTTGTCATGAGACTGAACTGACCTATTCACTGAATCAAAATGAAGTGTGCTAAGAAATGCGCATAGTTTTACTTGAATGACTAGCAATAACAAGAATGGCGTAAATGTGCTAAACAACAACTTTTAAAACAAGCTGAAAAAATCAATTAGAATACTTTTTCCTAATGGAAGGGTTGAAATAAAATTACTCTTGATTTCATAATTGAAATAAACTCATATATAGATATGACTTCAAAATGTAAATCATAATCAACGTAGGTGTTCAAGATTGAAAGACTTAGATTATGATTGGCTGGTTGGAAGACTGAATAGGTAAAACCCCTAGGCACAGTTAACCATTGCAGATCAAAATGAAATCATGTGAGATTATGGTTCATTTGTAACGCCATATTAACCGAAAGATATTATATTAAATGAAATGTATATCCTGTTCATTTTGTTGACAAATCTGGTTGATACAAAGACTATAGAAAATGGGTACAAATTGTATTTAAGATACATCTATTTCAGACCTGCTTATATTTAACATGTAATAGAAATATAATTTTTTTAAAATTAAATGGACGACCAATTATAAGTGGGAAGCAAAAATCACTATTTACTTGTTTTTTCACTAGTTAAAAAACATAACTTTACAAATAGTAGTTTATAAATGAAACACTATTTTATCACATAATATATTGTCAAAACAGTAACAACGTATAAGACTAGAAATTAAAATACGAATGTAACCACCAGTTAATGTCACCTTACAGTAGTAAGAACAGATAAAAACTATTTTCATAAACTGACTGGTTGTTGGGGATGTTAGATCCCCAAAATTCGCTTGATAATGCCGTATTTCGGTTTTCACGTTCGCCAGCAGGGGCTGATCAAATGACCTTGAGATTTCAATTCCCACCAGGAAAATCAATGGCTGTGATTGGCTACAGTGTATTTTAGTATGCTATTTTCTTAACTGTCTCAAGGACGTTGTTATGTTGTATAAATAAATGAGAGTTGTATGCTTGATTGTACTGGGATTGCTGGGTGCTTGTAGAATATACTTTCTACGCCTACAAAGTCTTCTATTTCGATTCTGGGATTCAGGGTAGCCTTCCTGGAAGCTGGTAAAAGTCTCGTTCGCGTTTATCGACTAAGGTAAACTCGTAATAGCCTCCAGCATACTAAGTGCCGAACTTATCAGTGGCGACGGGGCTCCGTCTTCTTTCTTTGAACGGAGGGGTCTAACGTTCGGGTGTCATTAGTACGGTGGTTGACGTTACATCAAGTACAAAACATAAAAGTGGCGACGGGGTAAGAACCATATCCACAAAACATAAAAGTGGCGACGGGGCTTACAATTCACAATGTCAATTAATCTTGAACAGTTAGAATCTTTACTGGAACGTCAAGGTAAACGATATGAACAGTTCCAGGAACGTATGTTGGAGCTGTTAATGAAACAAATGAATTTGAATCACAGAGGTTTTGCCGATGATTCATATAATCCGCATACAGACTCGATAGTTAATTCCATTCATGAATTTCATTTTGATGGCCTTGCTGGTGTGACTTTCGAGTCTTGGTTTAAGAAGTATGAGGATTTGTTCAAGGTCGACCTCAACAATCTTGATGACGCCACCAAAGTCAGAATCCTTTTGAGAAAGCTCGGCACAATCGAACACGAACGTTATAGTAATTTCATCCTCCCAAAGAACCCACGAGATTTCTCTTTTGATGCTACAATTGATACGCTGTCGCAAATCTTCTCTGAACAGTCATCTCTCTTTAATATTCGTTATCAATGCCTCAAAATAACCAAGTCAAATGAAGATGACTGGGTAAAGCATGCTGGCTTAGTAAATCGTGAATGCGAGCGATTTAAATTATCATCAATGACGGAAGATCAGTTTAAGTGCCTTGTGTTTGTGTGCAGCTTACAATCTCCCGACGATGCTGATATAAGAACCAGAATCCTAAGTAAAATTGAACAGTGCCCAAACATCTCGCTTCAAGAAATAACTGCAGAGTGCCAGAGATTAGTAAACTTGAAGCATGATACCTCCATGGTCGAAAACAAGGGCCTCTCATCATACGTGCATTCCATTAGTGAAAAGAAAAATTCCAATTCGGCCCAAAAACCCAAAATGAATCCACCTTCTGCTTGCTGGCACTGCGGTTCATGGCACTATGTACGGAACTGCCCATTTAGGCAGCATAGATGCAGGAAGTGTAAAGTCATCGGTCATAAAGATGGCTTTTGCCTACAGAAAAAGCCAAAGCGATCCAGAAGTGCTAAGAAGCCTGTTCCTAGATCCAGTACCAATGCATTGAGCCTAATATCTTCCTGCCAAAGCTCATCACCAGGTGAGAGGAAATTTATTACTCTTAATATTAACGGTTATTTGTGTAGAATGCAAATAGATACTGCATCTGATGTCACTATCCTCTCAGGCAAAAATTGGACCAAATTGGGCAGCCCAAGCCTGCAGCACACAACACAAAAGCCTCGCACAGCATGTGGTAATTATCTTCGTCTGTTAGGACAATTGGAATGTAAAGTTGCTTTCCGGGATTCGTCGTTTACTGGGGTATGCTATATAACGCCAGCTGATCTAAATTTACTTGGTTTAGATTGGTTCGACCAGCTAAAATCGGCTGATGTCCCGCTAAATACCATATGCAACTTGGTATCACAACGACATGACCCAGAAGCGTATACGAAGAAGCTGATGACAGAGTTTTCAACCATTTTTGAACCTGGATTAGGTTGGTGCACTGCTATGAAAGCAACACTTCGGTTGAAACATGGGGCTAAGCCTGCTTTTCGTCCAAAGAGACCTGTACCGTATGCTACATTAGCAACAGTAGATGAAGAGCTGGATCGCCTTCAACGACAAGGAGTTATTACTCCCGTTTCTTACTCCAGTTGGGCAGCACCTATAGTCGTTATCAAGAAGGCCAACGGAACGATACGTATATGTGCTGACTTCTCTACAGGTCTCAACGCAGCTCTAGAACAGCATCATTATCCTCTGCCAGTTCCAGCAGATCTGTTCACTATGCTGAATGGAGGAAAGTTCTTCGCAAAGCTTGACCTAGCTGATGCTTATTTGCAAGTGGAAGTCGATGAAGCATCTAAAGAGCTGCTTACTATCAACACTCATCGCGGTTTGTTTCAGTATAACCGTCTACCTTTTGGAGTTAAGACTGCGCCATCTATCTTCCAACAACTAATGGATACAATCCTGTCAGATATCTCAGGGGTTGCAGCTTATCTCGATGATATCTTGATTGTTGCGAAGACGTTAGAACAGCTACGGGAACGCACGACATTGGTACTACAACGCATCAGTGACAATGGTTTCCGGTTACGCCCAGAAAAATGCCAGTTTCTATTGCAGTCGGTAAAGTATTTGGGATTCATCTTTGATGCCGACGGTCGCAGACCGGATCCTGAAAACATCCGAGCTATCAAACTGATGCCCACTCCCACTAATGTTTCCGAATTACGATCTTTTCTCGGTTTAATCAGTTATTATTCAGCTTTTGTTCCCTCGATGCATGATATTCGCGCTCCATTGAACTGTCTACTGCAGAAGCATAGCACATGGAACTGGACTAAAGAGTGTGACGCGGCTTTTGATAAACTCAAGTCTATAATTAGCTCGGAGTTGTTATTAACACACTACGATCCATCCATGCCGATCATCGTAGCAGCAGACGCTTCAGCATATGGCCTAGGTGCTGTTATTTCACATCAATTTCCAGACGCGTCAGAAAAAGCCGTTATGCATGCATCCCGTACACTGACCCCAGCAGAAAAGAAGTATAGCCAGATAGAGAAAGAAGCTCTTGCCCTTGTGTTTGCTGTTCGCCGTTTCCATAAGTTTCTGTACGGTCGGAGATTCACGCTCCTCACAGATCACAAGCCTCTGTTAGCAATATTTGGTTCAAAGTCTGGCATTCCAGCCCATTCTGCAAATCGTCTTCAGCGATGGGCCTTGGTACTTTTGGGGTATGATTTCGAAATCCAATATCGACGTACTCTACAATTCGGTCAAGCAGACGCCTTGTCACGACTCACTAATGATCAAGTGGCGGCTGAGGAAAACATGGTGATCGCATCTCTGTCAGTAGAAGACCACGCAGAATGTTATCTGACAACCGCAGTTCGCGCATTACCAGTGTCGGCAACAGACATACAAAATGCTTCTAGAAACGACCCCATCATCAAGATGACGATGAAATATGTCACTAACGGTTGGCCGTCGAAAAAGTTTGAAGGTGACATGAAGCAACTGTATCAGCGGCGGGAGTCACTATGCATCGTCAACGATTGTCTGATGTTTGGTGAAAGAGTAGTGGTGCCAGAATCCCTTCGTGCAAAAGTGCTGAGACAGTTCCATCTTGGTCATCCTGGAATTAAACGAATGAAGTCCATAGCCAGGAGTTATGCATACTGGCCTCACATGGATCAACATGTCACAGCGTTGGTTGAAAAATGCATCCGGTGTCAGCAGGCGGCAAAGATGAATGCCAAAATTCCGCCGGTTTCATGGCCCAAACCTGAGCATCCTTGGTCCAGGATACATGTCGACTTCGCTGGCCCAATAAATGGAACTATGTATTTAATTGTCGTCGACGCCTTTTCTAAATGGCCGGAAATCAGCCCCGTTATGCCGCCCACTACAACTAAGACTATACAGCTCCTAACTGAAATTTTCTCACGAAATGGCATACCAGATGTGATCGTATCCGACAATGGCTCTCAATTCACCTCTTCCCAATTCCAGAATTTCTGTCAACGGCTAGCTATTAAACACTTACGCTCGCCACCATACCACACGCAATCGAATGGGCAGGCGGAAAGGTTTGTGGATACGTTTAAAAGAGCACTGCTCAAGTCAAAAGGGGAGGGGACGCCAGCCGAAACGTTACAAAATTTCTTGTACGTCTATCGGACAACACCAAATGAATTGTTACCGGAGCAAAAGTCCCCAGCTGAAATCCTGATGGGAAGAAGATTGAAAACGATTCACAGCCTGATGCATCCGACCAATGCACCCTCATCAGAAGAGACAAAGCAGCAAAGACAATCCGCTTACGAGGTGGGATGCCCTGTGTTTGCCCGCGACTACAGAACGAACCATGGTCCTTGGGTAGAAGCGAGAGTGGTCAGAAGGGTTGGTCGAGTTATGTACGAAGTAGAGGTAGGAGGTGATAAATGGTCACGTCATCGCAATCAGATACGCAGACGGCTAGCCCCAGATCGCCCATCAAGAGCAGAAAGCCTTCCCCTTGACATCTTGCTTGATACCTTCAACCTACCGAGAGCCCCGCCACGAGAAGAAACTCAGCAGCAAGCTGTCCTTCGTTCCCGAAGGTATCCCCTCAGACAGCGGCGAACAATAGTCAAGATGCAAGTCAACCACAGGAGAACACGCTATTAAAAAGGGGAGGAGTGTTGGGGATGTTAGATCCCCAAAATTCGCTTGATAATGCCGTATTTCGGTTTTCACGTTCGCCAGCAGGGGCTGATCAAATGACCTTGAGATTTCAATTCCCACCAGGAAAATCAATGGCTGTGATTGGCTACAGTGTATTTTAGTATGCTATTTTCTTAACTGTCTCAAGGACGTTGTTATGTTGTATAAATAAACGAGAGTTGTATGCTTGATTGTACTGGGATTGCTGGGTGCTTGTAGAATATACTTTCTACGCCTACAAAGTCTTCTATTTCGATTCTGGGATTCAGGGTAGCCTTCCTGGAAGCTGGTAAAAGTCTCGTTCGTGTTTATCGACTAAGGTAAACTCGTAATAGCCTCCAGCATACTAAGTGCCGAACTTATCACTGGTTTAAGTTACCTGATACACAATACTTACTATTATTTCATGTTCTAGTATTTAAGCTTGAGTCAAACAAACTATAAGAATCAAGTGACTCAATCTTCCAATAATTGTTGACTGGACATGAGAAACAAACAAGAATTTATAAAGTTAAAAGTGTAGTAGAATACATTTAGTTGGGCAACTAACCTGAGTGAGTTTTATGGTATTAATTTTACCGGAATCAGATAAATAGAAAGTAGCACGAAAATCACGCCACCTAAAGGTAAATGAAATGTAGAGAAATACTGTAAGTAAATGTGTAAAATATTAACATGTGAAATGTATTTCAAGAACAAACTAGGGTCAAAGGAGTGATAAATATTGAGACAATGGTTTTATCATGAAAATACCGTTTGAAGAACAAAGGTGAATTGGATGGAAGTTTCGATTCAGCCTAAGACTTTACAACAGATAGATGTTGCGGATCTTAGAGTGGTAACTTAGTGTTTAAAATACTCAATTTTCAACGAGGAAGTCTCACGTTTGAATCTAAGACCACTTCGATATATAACGATTAGAAAGTAGTAGTAACGTGAGTCAAGGCCAACTACATAAATCCACACATGAAAAGCGGGTTATGTCATCATCATATTACACGGAAAACCGGCCAGAGTAACTTTAAATTAGTAGAGTTTGTATACAGTAATGACAGTTTATAAGCTGTGATAAAAACAAAATATTTGAAAACAATGTGGGGCGAAAATTAGGTGGAAATGATTTTAAAACCGTAATTAGACTCATAGGTTGAATAAATGAGGATACACAGTATACAGAGTGAAACTACATACCCTAAATTTAATGATATCATCGTTTAAAACCGAAGTACATTTTTTATTTAGTGTAACATTTTGAAAGCGTAACAGAACTATGTAATGTTTGGTTGGGACGTCCGTAGAAATTAAAGATGTTATTTGCTATCAGTTGGAGAACCAATGAAAGCCAAAAGGAGTACTGAGAATGAATAAATAGAACCGCAATAATTGCAATACATTTTGAAAGTTAAGTTTGAATCCAATGATCCATATATTTAACCTCAATACCACTGGTAGGTGTAACTGATGTGATTATCAGTATTGTTGAAATCTACAAGTCGCTATTTTTTACTAGGACTTAAATAATATATTTTGAAACCGGTGACTAGTAAACTTTCATACACTTAGTTCTCTCAATTGTCTTGAAGAGAGCAACAATAAATAATTGAGCAGAATAATATGAATTCATTTTATTTTGTTACACTCTCATCAGCTGCTTACAACCTATAGTGTTTTAAAATCAAAATTATTGTGCAGTAAAATATATATATATATATATATATATATATATATATATATATCATATGAGACTGATGTACGAACGTACGAATTTTTACGTTGTAGCTATCTGCCTGTCTATTTTATATGAGAGAAAATTGCGGTTGACCAGACATAATAGCAAGAGATTATAGAGCTAAAATAATTCACTTCCCTAGTGAACTGTCTGACGCTTCGTGATTTCTTAACAAGTATCATTAAATACATGAAGAAGGGAAATATCTACATTTAATGGTCATAATTAACTTACTGAGCTCGTTGTTCCAATCTTTCTGATAATTTATCTGAAGGTAAATGAGATTCTTCTTTGAACGGCGCAGGTAACAGAACGATTCGAAAACAAACTTCAACTTCCCATTTTTCTGTATCAGATAAAATACTGGTCAGTTCTAGTCGACGACGATAAGAACGCATAGAAAAATAAGCCCGACTAGCCACTACTAGAGCACGAATCCATGATTCCCCTCTAAAGAGAATACATAAGGGAAAAACAAGGAGGAATGTTAGAAAATATTTCTTTGAAGGAGTGTAGGTCTTTGGTGCTTTCTTTTGGTAAGAATTGCAATCAACATTGATATTTTTGCCAGCCATCCAAATAAACAGGCCGCTAGAGTTAAGACAGTCTATGTATTATTTTAAATTTTATGTCAATTAATGTATCGGCTGATGTTACTGTGACTCGCACTTCTGTCTGAGACTGATGTCAAATATAACTATGCAGTGAAATATACTTCGGACGATGATAAAGACCACAAATATTGTCCAACTTGCAGAGTGCTCCAAACATGAGACATTCGAATCTCGGTATGCTTCTAAGTAACTGAAGCAGGATAGCATTTCAGTAGACTACACTTTGAACTTTCTTGTCGTCCTGACAACCAGAAAGAGACAAATAAATTTAGGTTAAAGACCAGACATGTTTAAAGTAATTTCAATTCAACACTAAAAATTAATGATACAGACAAGCTAAATTTCTTGCCACGAAATGCATTATTGTGAAAAATAGGATGAGTAGTATTTTACGATAGAAATGCCCTCTAACGGCCACCTATTTATAGCTTGTCATGGTAGTACTACTCACTGCCTTCATAAAGTAGGTGTTTCTAAAACAGTGTGAGAAAGAAAAACAAATGTTCAATTAGGTCCTCAGTTTTCCTGATGTATTCTTTCTTGTTCATAATCGTTGTATTGCGTAATTTATCCGCTGAAACTATGAAAATATCTCCACTAGTTTCGAGTTTCCTTAAGGCTTTTCGTCCTTGCGCTGTTAGTTGGGTCGAGAATAAAACACAATTGTGTGGTCAACCTGTCAAAACAATATTTGATGACAACAGAAAAACACTTCCGCAAACAAGGATTAAGCAACAACACAAGTGACGCTTTGAAACTCGAATTCTTCGCCGCACTAGGGTCGTCACTCAAAACGACTGGAACAAATGAAGAAACCCGACATGAAACAGGAGAAACCAAAGTACCACCAACAAGACCCACTAGATGCTGTTTCAACAGGTCAACCACACAATTGCTTGTATTTTATTCTCTACCCCACTAACAGCACAAGAACGAAAAGCCTTAAGGAAACGCGAAACTAAAGGAGATATTGTCAAAGTTTCAGCGGTCAAAGGATGCAACACAGCATTTATGGACAAGAAAAAATATATCAGGAAAACTGAGGACCTGATTTAGGACAGAAGCGTATACAAACTAATGGACACATATCGATTAAAAAGATTAGACAGCTAAATCTCAAGGACTCTGAACATGCTTGTCAAAGCAGGACAAATATCAAACAAAATCAATGGAAAACGAAATCTAATGGACCAGTTATTCTACGATTCTATGGTAGGTCAAAACTACGTAAACCCAACATTACACTAGGTCCACTTGCATTCCTCCCTAGAACCCCAACATAAAACTTATCAAAAGAAATCTCAAGGATATTGAAACATTCGGTGAATTCATCAAATTACTTTATTCAGTCTCCCATACAACTCCTGGATAAATTCAAGGAGATTCAAAACGACAACGACGAAGTGATGACGTAATAGACTTATTCATTTCGAACCAAGCTTAGTGTGAACATCAATTAGCAGTCAAACGCCATGACATTTATTTCCTTAAATTAGCACATACAGACAAGTATGGACATACATTCGATTGGAACAATGTTGAAATACTGTAGAGAGGGAGTACAAAGAATACTAGAGAATTTTTAGAAGCTTGGCACTCAAGTCAATCAGCAATCAACAAACACACAGACATTGACCCAATTTATCGATCAGTCATAAAAATCATAGGCGACATTGGATCAAGAAACAGATCAAAAGGGAAATACAATCAAAACAAAGGGGAAAACAACGATAGGTTTAAGGTCAACAGTAACCAATCAAGATGGAGGTCAACAGAACAAGCTACAAGTTATACGTAAAGAAATCCGAATAATTCACTTCTACCTGAAGTTTGTGCTGTTCAGAAGAACAATGAAAGCCACACAACCAAAACAGCCATCTCTGACTAGCACTCGTTCCCTAACAACAGCATTCCTCACTTGGTGGTCCCATGATACATGAGCAATGCTTCTAAGACATTTATGATCGAAAACTAATATCCTACGGATATTCTCAACTCTTACCGGCCATGTTTCGCATCCATATAGTAGGATAGAGCGAACTGATGCGCAGTACACTCGTCCTTTGGTTAGCAAACTGATATCTCTCCGAAGCCATAAGTGACAAAAGTTAGCGAAAACCAATCAAGGCTTCTGCATCCGTACTGAGATTTCGTCAATCACCAGGCAATCAGCACTGATGAGAATCCCGAGAAAAAAGAAGCTTTAATTCCTATCACCATAAGCTCACACTCCACCAGTGGTGTTCGAGTAGAGAGCCTGCAAAAGTTAGTGTACTTATTTGGCACACATTTCAATGACAGACAAGGCCACAGAACCTCACGAACGACAGAGTCGAATGCCGCTTTAAGGTCGAAAAATAATACTACTGTGGGCGTCTGAACGAGGGTCTTTGTTCTAAGACCTGACGTAGTGTGAATATTGGGTCTATAAATCAATGTCAGGTTGAAAACCAGCATGGTTTTCTTTGATCTGCTCTTCACAAGCTCTAGTTAAGAATCAGAGTATTATCGAGGCCAATATTTTAGATACTATATTAGTTAAACTGATTTCTCTGTGATTTTCACAAGAGGACTTTTGTTCTTTCTTATAAATTGGGACAGTTAGCGATTGAGACCAGTCAGATGGTATTACGCTCAGTTCCCAGATTCTTCCTAAGATCTCAGTCAATCTAGCTGCTAAAACTGGACCAATATCCTTAAAAATCTCACGGGTAAGCCTGTCGGGCTCTCCCTTGCTTCAGATTACCTATAGTCTCTTTCAACTGTATTAATAGTTGGAGAACTCACATCAACTCTCTGTGCAGATTACTGGAGATCGTGGTTGACCGGAGTGTGGCTGAAGACCAGTCGAATTGGTCTCTGAAGTGATTCGGCCGATTGATTCAATCTCCTGGATTTGGAATGGATAATAAGCCCATTCTTTTGTGAGATAGTTTCGCCAACAGATGTATTCCTAGTACCCGTTCCTTGACAAGGAGGGACAGTTGTCTGCTGTTGCCTATTGCCGCTGCCTTTTCCATTGCTTTTGCTTTCGCTGCCAACCACTGTTGGCGATCATTGCGTAGGCTTCTTACTAGCCTGCGCTTACACTGACTTTGCTCTTCATCATTTTCACAGCCAGATGTGACGAGTTCCCGAGCAACTATCAGTTCGGTAGATGCTACTGAGATTCACACCTTTACAAGAACCTTTTGGTTTACCTTTCTAGCAGATATCACTGCTGTTTTCACAGCCTTTTTGATATCACTTCAAGCTGCTTCCATATGGGAATCACTCACATTGCCGCCTAACTTTTTCTAGTTGTTTCTGAAATATATTTTTAGCTATGCTATCATTAAGTAGAACCGTAAGAGCTTTCCTTGCCATATCTTTCCTACATCCAGTAAGACACAGACAAATACGCGCTCGTTCTAGAGCATGATCTGAATCTAAACACGTGCTCCAGAATAAGCAACAGTCTTCTATCCAGCCTCTCCATCGGTGGTTGATAGCGATGTGATCTAGTTGTATCCAACGTTGGGACGACTTTGTGGGTTTCCATGTCGAAAGATGTTTTTCCTTGTGCTTAAAGTTAGTATTTGCTAGGGATAGACAGTTATCTGATCATGGTTGCAGCAGACAGTCGCCATTATCTGTTCTTTGAGCTTTGACGCCATAAGATCCGCCCAGATGTCTTTCTTTTTAAATTAGTTTACCTACTTGGGCATTGAAGTCATCAGTCACTATTACTACATTAGAGCGCCTAACATTTTGGAGGAGGTCCGAAAGGTTTCCGTAAAACTCATATTGTACCTTGTCAGAGCTGCAGTCAGTGGGAGCGTAGACAGATGTTCTGTTTCTGATAATCAAGATAACCCAGAGAGCAAGAATTCTCCAAGGTGAATATTTTGAGCTTTCTTATCTCTATTTTTGTCGAATATTGTTGCCAGTTTATTCCATGAAATAACATGAAATTTGTGATTTTTTTGTGATTATTTTTCGACCTTAAAGCGGCATTCGACTCTGTCGTTCGTGAGGTTCTGTGGCCTTGTCTGTCATTGAAATGTGTGCCAAATAAGTACACTAACTTTTGCAGGCTCTCTACTCGAACACCACTGGCCGGATGAGAACCTGTGGCGAACTGTCATCGGAATTCATTACTCTTAGTGGTGTCCGTCAGGGCCGTTCATTTTCTCCATTCTCGTTTATCGTTGTTGCTTCTAGAGTTGACATTATCATCGTTTGACTCTTCAGGAGTGGACCTTTTACCAAGAGACACGCCTGCTGACTTAGAATATACTGATGAAATCTTAATATTCGGCGAAGACGCTGACAAAATGCAGAGTTTTCTGACTTCCCTGTTTAAAAGGCCTTACCGCCTGAGACCGAAATCTGTGAGGTAACGTGAGGTGTGACATTTTCGGATTCGACCTTTTCTAACCCCTTCCTCTCTTGTGAGAAGGAAAGATCGCTGTAGATTCTGGTTGTTCGAGCGAAACACCTTACTGCTGCCACACCGATCTACAACCAGCAGAACGACCTCACCCTCAGACCTTGAGTAGCTGCTTTTAGCCTCATTGTTCTCTATTCAACCTGCCTGGCATCGTAGGACCTATAGGAACATGTTCCAGCCAATATAGGTCGGTTGCTTATCATGATAGGCAAGCCTGACCACCACGATAAGGTAGCAGCTGTGGTCAGGGGCGCTTTATCTGAATCCCAGGCTTTATTTACGTATCGGTAGTAAACTAGCAAACGAGGAAGAAGGTGCATTAAGTTATGGCAGCATTCACACCATCAATGCAACTGCGAACGAATTCGAATTGTAGACTGTAAGTAGAAGATCCACAGTTGTAAACAACTAACAACTTTTGACACATTATCAGTGAATTATACGTAGTAGACTAATTAAACCTTATTATATTTTCCAAAAATACGCAAACTCATAAGAAAATAGTTTTTTGTCAAGTAAAGGGGAGCAACTAGGAAAAAAGGTTGTAAACTTACCTCAATCTGCAGATGGAACCATTTTTTCTTTCATAGTAAACAACAGTATCAGAATCTAGCAGATTGCCTGGCACTTCACTGAAGAATGTCTTTTCAAAGAAAAGTGGTAACTCATCTTCAATATCTTGATTAATTTTTAATAAACGGTCCATTTTAGCTTCGTTAGGTAATTTTTTGACTGATTGATCATCATGACCACTAAATAAAAGGACTAAATCTTCAAATATTGGGTGATTAATTTCTTTTTGTTTGTTTTTATTTTCAAATAAAGTTGGAACAGTATGATTATTTTGTGACATATAACCATGATATAAAATTCCAGAGGACAAGCCAAGAAATATGGGATATTTTTTTATCTTTTGTAGTGAGTATAATTCTTTTAAAGAACCTCGTGAATTGCGTCGAAAAGGGACTAACCAACGGAACATAGTCTGGTCAGCTTCGATAACAGAAGATAAAATAATTCAAAGAAATACAATACGTAGAGAATTGATGGTGTGAATTTTTATCGATATAAGGTAAATGTGTGCAGTTGAGTTACAATATATGTATACATATAATATAGGAAGAAACAAAACAATACAGAACATAACAAAAAGAAGCCAGTCTACTCAGCGCTTAAAATTTAAAAGTAGTTGAGTACAATATGGTATGGAAACCGAGTTAGACTCTAAACTCACATGAATCACTCATCTGATTAGACAGACAGACAGACAGACACAAAGCAGAACTTCGTACGTAAGTACATCAGTTCAGGTTGCCATGCCCCATCAGCACAGAGACGCAACTGTCAGTTCAAATCCAAAAGTGATAGTGATAGTAGAATTATTAGCAGTAATGGAGAAGATTAGGGAGCCAAGATATGATTCAAGAAGTATGATTCAGTAAGATAAATTTAGAAGCAGAAAGGTAGAGATTTTGAGGAATCCAGAAGGTTAGAGTTTGAGAGAACACAAAGAGTGGATGGTCCTGAGCCATTGCGAACAATTCTGAGCCATGTCGTTCAAGGTCTCTAGCCATCGGTGACTATCGTCTCGCGGACCCCAACCAAGTAGCCTACATCTAACAACATGACTCAGTCCACTTGTCAGTGACTTCATGGATTTCTGCCATGTTTTAGTTTGGCCGCCCCTAGCTTTCTTCCAATCTACTCCTACAACACTAAACAGCTCGTCACGGCAGTCGGTGGTTAGGCATACGTAACACATGTCCCACCCACCTCAATTGATGAAGTTTCACTACTTCATCTATTGATTTGCCATCCCTACCTAGAACTCGTTTCCTAACGACAGCATTGCTTATACGGTTGTCCGAGGATACACGAACAATGCTTCGGAGATACCGATGATCGAAGACTAGTGATCTACGCATCTGATTAGTTTGAAAGACTGTGTTATATTGGTTGGAACCAAAAGTAAATGTACACTTATATACTTGCGCATTACGTCTGTCCATTTGAGGTCTTTTTACTTTATTCGGCTAACAGTTGCTTAAGATACAACACTCAGTAAGCATAAAATCGATACTAAGCTTACAAGTAACTGTTATGATATGAAGCGGTTTAAAAGACAATTTTCGGGCTGTTTTATGCACTTAATGTTGATTTATTAGGGTTTCAAATAAGAAAATTGATAAGTAGAAGTTCACTTAACTACTAAATAATGGACAAATATTACCAGCCTCCCTAGAGATAAAATTCGCTGGTATCTGAAGAAATATAAGTTAAATTAATGCTGAGTTCTAATAAGATTGAGTTCACTAAAAAAATCAACTTAAAAGGCATGCAAACAATAGGTATAAACACATATATGTCTTGAGTTTTAGGTGTAGTATGGGCAGTACCCTTATTCTTTGTAAGCTTTCAGATCTGAGACGACTGGAATGTACAAGTCAAAACACTTGATTGCAATGAAATGGTCAAACACCTTTCACACACTAACAAATGTCTAACGCTAAAAGCCAACGTATAAGACCAATGTAGTAGAGAATCTAATCATTTATAAAGGCTGTGGATAAATGATATTCTAACAGATAGTTCAACTAGAAATAGAACACTATAACCACACAGAATTTAAGATTGTTTTAATCCTTTACAATAACATGTAAAATTCATTACATGTGTTATCTTTCACTTAGATGGTATTCCTACTCTAACATGAAGACCACCGAACTAAAGGATTCAAATCAGAGACCGCACTTTATTGATAAAGGATGCCCACTAAGTTCATTTCAAATATCTTTATCGTCAGATTATATGTAATATATACAAACACAGGGTCGTGAAAAATTTGAAGTATAGGACATCGCAGTTCATAACCTATTGACAAGAACATAAAAAAAGACACCAAATAAGGTAACAAAGGTAAAGATAATTTGATAAACAATCTAATAAGCCTACAGTTTTTGCTTGGTGGCAGGAAAATTAGGTTTGCCATAGCAATTACTTATTTTGCGAATATATTTCCTTAAAATGATACCCATCTAAGGATTGACTAGAGGCATACGATTACAAATGAAAAAAATGCAAATCGAACAAAAGATTGAAATACTAACGAAGCATTAAAAGTAGCTGAAATTTATGGGTGGTAGTCTTCGATTCCGAAACCAGCAGTCACACTTCATAACTTTGTAATAAACGACCGATTTATAGTTATACATCCTCACAAAAATACAACCCTTTTGAAGTGGGGAACTTATTAAGCTACACGTGTTAAGGTAATTAATATAATTTACCACATGTTCGTGGTAGCTGTACGCATTACATTTCAGTCTTAGGTTAACAGTACGAAATTTTGCATAATCTAAAAACGCTTGAAACATTTTTACTTTTTATTTTATCAATCTTAAAGTTATAGAAATAAGTTACACTCGCAAACCTACTTTGCGCAACGCACCTAACAGTTACTGCGCCTTTCAATATCCAACATCCTACTTCGTCACAAGCTAGTGCAAAGTATTTGATTTCTTTCACTTTTTTCTCGTTCTTTCGGAATGGTTTCAGGTATTTGTTGATTTCCAATGGATTTCAGTCTGTCAATCCTAGTCATTCAACAGTTATTTACGAGTTTGTATGTTCCGTGATTTGAGTAAGTGGATACCAACGGCTTTCATATTACAAGGCTGAAGATCAGTATACTGCTCTGTGGAAAACAATAAAGAGAAGACCCTTATGCCAATGAGAGGAGGAAGAGTTGAGAATTATGTAAATAATTGTGTAGGTTTTTTATTAATCATGAAGGTTGTGTGAGGGAACTGAAATATAAGTAAAGAAGAGGAAATAGGTATTAAGCTAGATGGACTAGTGATCTGAGGAAGTGACAACAACAAGCTAGTTTCGAAACACGCACCATGCACAGCTGATCCATGTGGTGGATTATAATCATATGTGAGTACGTGTTTGTAAATTCTCTTCTTCAAGCTATCCACTGTGGAGTTGAGACCAATTCAAATTCGGAACAACACTTGATGAGAATAGTGGGTATGCGCCTGAGAATTCGCTCTTTGATGTGAAATTTTTCGAAAGTTATTTCGGTAGGTTTGACTGTGACATTTCGGTAATATGCTGATCATGAATACATATAATATTATCAGATCTCTTCTGATTCTCCTGTAAATTAGTAGGATTAATGTCAAGTTTTGGCGTCTTGCTTCGTAAGGCTTATTGTTTAACACTATCGCCCGCTTAATTGTTGTTCGATATAGGAGGTAGGTAGGTAGAGGGTAAGTGATAATATCATGAACTTCATCATGTGGCTGTGACTATTTTTTAAGAGAGTTATGAGCGACTGTGGGGAGACTGTGCCAAGTTTCTTTGCATAAATGGAAGATTTTAGTTGGTCTTGGCTGCTTCCCTCATATAATTTAAAGTGATACTGAGGTTCTCCGTGGTTTCAGCAAGCAGCATCTTGATATGCTAGTACCAATCGATTTCGAATTTTCTGTTTGCCTCTTGATATAACTGTCCGGTTTTAGGCCTCTTCAGTAGCAAAAACTAATAAATTATACACTTTGTAACCGACAGTTTTTGTCGACTTTTTACTCCGGTAATAAGATAATCTTTTTGGTATACTTAGCTTTGAATCATATGTTTCACAGCAATAAATGCGTACCAGGAATCTTAAAATACAAAAACTTGAAATGAAGAGTTAGCAAACAATTTGTGCTAGATGTAGTTTCGAATCTGCTGTATTCAACGACACTACTGTCCTCATGTGATTTTTACGATGCTATTTTTCAACACATTCAACGAGACTAATATATTAATTAATTATATTATTATTATCATTATTATTAGATCAACTGATTAACAAAAAAATATTTATTTCCAAATAACTTGTGTTAAATGGGGATGACAGTTTATGGAGAGGATCGAAGTACTACAGATACTGAGAAATTTACTGTAGGTGGTTGCTCGGGTACACTAAGAATATTATTAACCTTATTTCTCTAACATATTAAGGTTTACGTTCTGAAAAGCCAACAACAATCAAAAAGTACTGAGACGTAATAAAATATATGACTACAGCATTGCATATTCGTCTATAGTCAGCAGACAAATCAGTGTTAAGTCAGTAAACTAAACTCATGCAAGCTGCTTAAATTAAAATAAACTATAGTAGGATAGTCTTCAGATGAGAGAGTATGTCGATACAAAACGATGGCATGCGATGAGTGTCAAGGCAGATAGAGTATAAAAAATGGAAGAGAAGTTGGAATAAGAAACTGGATGCACGCAGCGACAACAGTAACCTTTGTGGAAAACATTAATTCCTACATTTTTCTTATTTTTATATCAAGCTTCAACTTCTAAGTCAAACTGTTTGTGACTAAATAAGTATGTTACCTCTTATCCTAACATAAAAGCGAACACAGAATAAAATCAAAAACAAGATTCTAAGGAGTAGCGAGCATATAAGGGCAACGTCCACATACATAAGTGGGTTGAAGTTATTTTACTCACTATCAGTGTTTGCAGGTCATGAAATCCACCCTACCCCTATGGTAAAGGAACATAGTTTAAAATTCATTTACGAGTAATTGAAAATAGCGCATATGGTGTTACGTTGATGACTTTTGGGGATGTATAAACGTCGTAACGGTTGCAAGCTGCTTCCTCAAAAAATCCATCGAAAGAGATTTTCTCAAATGAAGATAAAACTTCGTAAATCATACATTATCTTCTCAACGGGGTAACATTGAACTATTTTGTTTTTTAAGGTTAACTACAGTACCCTGGTAAAACATATAGTATTAGGTAGGTAAAAATAGGTCGTGAATAGTGGGATTAATGTAAGGACGATTTTACTGAATAGTTGTGGCCGAAAGGCAACAAGTTATGTAACAGCTCATCAGCGTAGGATTCCTTTATGCTCATTTATCCGAAGTTTTATGGATCATGTTGCCGAAAGATGGTGTCGAAATTTTTGAATCAAATAAAGCTATATTTTCTATCCGATTATAGTGATTTAATTTAACGCAACGAATGACCAATCATATGCAGGACTTTGTGATAAAAGCCTACTGTCACATGCATTAGGTGCTTACTTTCACTAAGCATCAAAACTAAAGACATGAGGCATGATTATTCGATGTTGATTCATTACACAATTGTGATGACGTTTACTTACTTACTTTCGCCTGTTACCCCCAATGGAGCATAGGCCGCCCAACAGTTTTCTCCAACCAACTCTGTCCTGGGCTTCCCTCTCCAGTTCTGTCCAATGTTTGTGTATTCCTCTCATATCTTTCTCTATTTCTCGGCGTAATGTATTCTTTAGCCTTCCTCTTTTCCTTTTGCCTTGAGGGTTCCATGTGAGGGCTTGTCTCGTGAAGCAGTTGGGTGCTTTTCGAAGTGTGTGTCCTATCCACTTCCACCGCTTCTTCCTGATTTCCTCATCCACTGGAATCTGACTTGTTCTCTCCCACAGTTCGTTGTTGCTGATGGTGTCTGGCCAACGAATACGATGTATTTTGCGTAGACAGCTGTTAATAAACACTTGTATCTTTTGGATGATGGCTTTGATAGTTCTCCATGTTTCCGCTCCATACAGTAGAACTGTCTTGACATTTGTATTGAAAATCCTGATTTTGGTTTTGTTTGAAAGTTAATTGGAGTTCCAGATATTTTTAAACTGTAGAAATGCAGCCCTTGCTTTGCCAATCCGCGCCCTCATATCTGCATCGGATCCACCTTTCTCGTCGATGGTGCTGCCAAGATATGTAAAGGTGTTAACGTCCTCCAAGGCATCTCCATCAAGAGTGATTTGGTTGGTGCATGTTGTGTTGATAGGAGAATTTCGCTTTTTCCTTTATGTATGTTGAGACCTACTGCCGCAGAGGCTGTTGCTACACTGGTCGTCTTCTCTTGCATTTGTTGTTGAGTGTGCGATAGAAGAGCCAGGTCATCTGCGAAGTCCAGATCGTCCAGCTGCGTCCTAACTGTCCACTGAATACTGTGCTTCCCTACAGATGTTGACGTCTTCATAATTCAGCCGATCACCAGGAGAAAGAGAATGGGTGATAGTAAGCAACCTTGCCTGACACCGGTCTTCACCTCGAAGGAGTCGGTTAGCTGTCCTCCATGCACGAGTTTGCAGTTTAATCCATCATAAGAATTCCGTATGATGTTGACTATCTTCTCAGGCACACCGAAGTGTCGAAGAAGCCTCCACAGTGTTTTCCTATCCACGCTATCGAATGCTTTCTTGTAGTCGATGAAGTTGATGTAGAGTGGTGAGTTCCATTCAATTGATTGTTCCACAATGATCCGTAATGTAGCAATTTGGTCAGTACACGATGGATCCTTACGAAATCCGGCCTGTCGATCTCGAAGTTGGACGTCCACGAAGTCCTTCATTCTGTTGAACAATACCCTGCTGAAGACTTTGCCTGGTATTGAAAGAAGAGTGATGCCTCTGTAGTTCTCACACTTGCTGAGATCGCCTTTCTTTGGTATTTTGTTGAGGTATCCTTCTTTCCAATCTGATGGTACTTGTTCCTCATCCCAAATCTTCTTGAAGAGGACGGGAAATATTTGTTCAGTTGCTTCTACATCTGCTTTCAGTGCCTCTGCTGGAATGTTGTCTGGTCCTGCTGCTTTGCCATTCTTGATCTGTGTGATGAACATACTGATCTCCTCAATCGTAGGTGCGCCAATAATAATTGGGAGATCCGTGGATGCTGCTTCGATGTTGGGTGTGTTCAGTGGAGCTGGTCGATTCAAGAGTTCTTTAAAGTGCTCTACCCACCTATTTCGCTGTTCGTCAGTGTTGCTGATCACTTTTCCTTCCTTGCTTTTCACTGGTCGTTCTGGTTTACGATAGTTTCCGGCGAGCTTCTTTGTTGTTTCGTACAATTGTCTCAAGTTTCCTTCTCTTGCAGCCTTTTCAGCCATCATTGCTAGATCCTCCACATATTTTCGTTTGTCAGCTCTGATGCTCTTCTTCCCATCTCTGTTTGCTTCTGTGTATGCAGCTTGTGCCTTATCTTTCTCTGCTCTTGTTCGGCTGATGCTGATTGCTGCCTTCTTGTTCCTCCTTTCTTGAATTTTTGCAAGAGTACCAACAGAGATCCATTACTTGTGATGGTACTTCTTGTGACCCAGAACTTCGTGACATGTTGAAGTGATTGCCTCCTCGATCCCTTTCCAATTGTTCTCCAAAGTTTCTTCCTCTCCATTGAGTAGATCTTGAAGGGCCTGGAACCTATTGGTGAGGGCTATCTTGAATTCGTTGAGTTTTACGATATCCCGAAGAAAGGCCGTATTAAACATGTGTGATGTTATCTGCCCCGTTATACAGTGTTTCTTGAGTTTTATTTTTATTTTAGTGACCAGCAAGTGGTGATCTGAGGCTATATCAGCTCCTCTCTTGGTTCTCACATCCTCCACAGTTCTTCTGAAAGTTTTGTTGATACAGATATGATCAATATGGTTTTGAGTAGTGTGGTCCGGTGAAATCCATGTGGCTTTGTGTATGCGATTGTGCGGGAATATTGTGCCACCGATGACCAGTTTGTTGAAGGCACATAGGTTTGGAAATCTCTCACCATTTTCGTTTCTTTCTCCCAGTCCATGTCGTCCCATGATGTCTTCATATCCAGTGTTGTCCATGCCAACCTTGGCATTCAGGTCTCCCATAAGAATCGTCAAATCCTTTGGTGAACATTTCTTGACGATTGACTGCAGCCTTTCGTAGAATTGATCTTTAAAGTCTCATTGTAGTCATTAGTAGGTGCAAAACACTGGATGACGTTCATTGTAATGTCCTGTTTCTTTGTTTTGAAGGATGCTTTGATGATCCTAGGTCCAGTAGATTCCCATCCTATTAGTGCCTTTTGTGCATGTTTGGATAGCATCAGTGCAACTCCTTGTGTATGTGAAGCGTTTTCCTCTTCATGACCAGAGTATAACAGCAGTTCCCATGAAGCTAGTCTCAGTTGTCCTACTTGTGTCCAATGCGTTTCACTGATGCCGAGCACCTCGTGGTTGTATCTTTTCATTTTTGCCGCATCTTGAAATAGTATTCCAGTCTCCCACAATGTACGAACGTTCCATGTACCTAAAGGAATGGTTGCTCTGGTTGTCAGAAGAGGCATCGGCCACGTGACTTCCGAGGGAACTCGGCGTTCATCACGCGACGTCATAATTCTTTCTCCAACTCCCAGGGCAGAGTTAAAATGGTTTGAATTATTTTTTCTGGTTAGCGTTTTTTTTGCAAGATAGTTTTTGTGGTGGGATGGGGTCGCCAACCCCATGTCCAACCCCGAAGGTTCTACTGGCGGAGTTGTGATGACGCTACCGATATCTATTACTTGTCCTCACGGATAAGCGGTGATCAGGTTGTTCTGTGTCTTCGTTTCCTGACAGAATTTACGGCATGATTTTACCGAAGAGGACAGCTGGCCAGTTAACCTTCTGCGAACCAGAGGTGGAGTTATATCAACCGTGTTAGATCATCAAACCTACTCCTCCACCAAAAAACACAGCAATTCTCAGTCCAAATCAAAAAGTAGTAGAGAAAGTGGAAATATTGGCAGTAATGGAGAAGATAAGGGTTCGAAGAAACGGTTCGAGAAGTATATTTCAGTGACATCAATATAGAAAGAGAAGAGAGAGATTACGATGAATTCTAAGAATTAGAATTTAAATGAACAGAAAGGGTGAAAGCACCTGCACCATTGCAAACCAATCTGAACAATGTCGTTCAAGGTCACTCACCATCGGTTACTTTCACCTCGCGGACTACAACCAGGTAGCCTACATCTACCGACATGACTCAGTTCACTTGTCAGTGGCATCATGGATTTGCGTCAAGCTTTGGTGTGACCACGCCTAGCAGTCGAGGCAGTCGGTGGTTAGGCATTCGCAACACATGTCCCACCCACCTCAACTAATGAAGTTTCAATACTTCATCTATTGATTTGCCATCCCTGACTAGTACTCGTTTCCTAAAAACAGCATCGCTTACTCGGTTGTCTCACGATACACGAGCAATGCTTCTAAGATATCTATGATTAAATACTAGTAACCTACGAATATCTTATACTCTTACCGTCCACGTTACGCGTCCATATTGGAGAATGCAGTGAACTGCTGCACAATACACTCGAGCTTTGGTTAGAAAACTGATATCTCCCTAACGCCATAAATGACGTTAATTGGCGAAAGCCAATCAAGGCTTCCGTATCCGTGCTGAGATTTCGTCAGTCACCAGTCCATCAGCACTGATGAGACCCCCCAGATACGTGAAGCGGTCTACAAGCTCAACTACTTTACTCCCTATCACTAGTAAACGTGACGATACAACCCAATCTTGGAGCAACATCTTGCGTTTCGACGGGGAGAAACGCATCCTGAACATGCTTGCATTGTTACTTAGGGTAGTCAGAAAACTCTGCATTTTGTCAGCGTCTTCGCCGAATATTAAGATTTCATCAGTATATTCTAAGTCAGCAGGCGTGTCTCTTGGTAAAAGGTCCACTCCTGAAGAGTCAAACGATGATAATGTCAACTCTAGAAGCAACAACGATAAACGAGAATGGAGAAAATGAACGGCCCTGACGGACACCACTAAGAGTAATGAATTCCGATGACAGTTCGCCACAGGTTCTCATCCGGCCAGTGGTGTTCGAGTAGAGAGCCTGCAAAAGTTAGTGTACTTATTTGGCACACATTTCAATGACAGACAAGGCCACAGAACCTCACGAACGACAGAGTCGAATGCCGCTTTAAGGTCGGAAAATAATACTATTGTGGGCGTCTGAACGTGTGTCTTTGTTCTAAGACCTGACGTAGTGTGAATATTTGATCTATAAATCCATGTCCAGGTTGAAAACCAGACTCGTTTTCTCTAGCCTGCTCGAGGCCAATATTTTAGATACTGTATTAGTCAAACTGATTTTTCTATGATTGTCACTAGAGAACTTTTGTCGTTTCCTATAGAATTGGGACAGTTAGCGATTGAGAACAGTCATATGGGATTAGTAGTTCTACGTTGCAACTGACTGACTGATTAGTATACAAAGTGTTAGCTCTGTTCTTGTGTAAAAGACCTTACCGCCGGAGACCGAAATCCGGGAGGTAACGTGAGGTGTGACATTTTTGGGGTCGACCTTTTCTAACCCCTACCTCTGTTGTGAGAAGGCAGCATCGCTGCAGATGTTGATTGTCCGACGGAAACGCGTTACTGCTATCACACCGATCTACAGTCAGCAATACCACTTCACCCTCAGACCTTGAGTAGCCGCTTTTAGTCCCATCGTCCTCCAGTCAACCTGCCTGGCATCGTAGAACCTACAGGAACATATGTTCCAGCCAATATAGGTTGGTTAGGTCGTCTGGTCATGGTAACAGCTCCGGTCTGGTCATATATATACTGACATAAACTTTTATTCACCCGCTTGATGATATGCATGTAAGGAGAAGCTCTACTAATATAGGCCGATCGTATTGCCTTCTAAGCATATTTCACTGCTTCTTACTTTTGTAAACACGACTGTTTATAATTTGATTTTGATTTTCTTGGATTCAGACTTTTCAGCTTTCGCTTTTTTCGATCTCGTTGCATACTCTTGGGTTACACAGAAGATACATAAGCTCAAATACATGCAACTTACATAAATATGCTCAAACAAAACGCAGCTCTTTATTTTTTTCGAGAAGATTGACGAATGTTCTCCGAGTGATAGAGATAAATCAGAGTGGGTAATCGGTCTAATCTCCGCCGATCGTTCAAGTTAGCTATTAACGTTTTCTCCCATTACATATCTCAGCCTTGAGTAGGACCTCTGTCATGTTTTCCAATAAAGGAATTCGAATAATCAATAGAAATATTTATCTGCTCCTGAGTGGAAACAAGATACTCTCTTTCCAATCTTCAAAGGAGCAGAGAGGAAGGATCTAGCCTTTTAAAGGCCGGTCACGTGAAGTAGAGACTTGATACACACGTACTCAGACTCGGATTATCATCTCTTTCTTGTACAAGTTCTGCTTGATGCATGTCTTCAGACACTCTAGTTGTCATTATTCCAATGTTCTTAGATCACTGACTCAACCTATCTCGCCTATTATCTCTGTTTCCTCTCCTTTGCTTACACTTCATTCCCCTCTCACAATCTTCACTGACAATTGGTGAACTAAATTATCTATTTAATTACTTAGTTCTGAAGTCCTCTTCCTTTCATCATTAGAAGTTTATCCTTACTATTCTCCGCACTGCAACTAACTGATCTGTCTGGTAATGGGATAGCTGCGGGTATCCAGAAACCTTACTGTCGTGAAACAAACGTTTTCATTCAAGTCACGGGATATACAAACTCACAACCAACTGCCAACCGACTAGAATTAGACTGTCGAGTGCCTAGACCCCCATTCACTGGACACTGTCAAATATACGGAACCGTATCGAAAGAACAAGAATTGAGCACAAAGAAATCAACTGGTTTATACTAGCTCGTGAAACAGATATTGGATATTGTATGTATTGGATAGTCGTACTATGAATCGCAATTTTACGATTGTCCCGCTACCTTATCGCACTTAACATACTATTATGTAGATTATTCCTTAACATATTCAATTTCAAACGGTTGAAAAATCGTTGACAACAGAGTCTGGAAAATGCGAATTCCTAGGATATTTTGAAGACTATGATTTTGATGGAGAGTGTGGAACCGATTTTGCGCCCTGCAGATGTAGCTTCTTTACTCTTGTTTACATTTATTTGCATTTAGTATATAGGTTCGTTTCTTGTTTTTGGCAAAGGTCATCATGAAAGAGCTGAAATTGTGCGTCAAAAGTTGGAGGCTGCTCGCGTAAGTGGGAGATATTTGTTTGCCGGAAGGACATATTTCCCCCTATGAATGTTTATCTGATACACTTGTTGTCATCTTGTCTATATGTTTGCAAAAGAATTTGTTGCTCGCACTTTTTAAGAAATTCATTAACCATGCAGATTTGGTTTGTGCAAATAACAAGGAGACGTTTCACTTACAATATACACTGAGTAATGGTTAAGATGTGTTTTCTTCGTAAATCCTTGTAAATGTGATAAAAATGTAGGATTTAACCTTACCTTCGAAGCAAAGTGTTTCTAGAAACTTAAATTAATTTGGAGCATGAAACCATGCTAATGGCCATAAGTAGAAATTTGACGCATCATCCCTGTATATTTTTCAGGTTTCAAAAGGTTTAAAAACGAATTTTCATTCATTTTCAAATAATCAAAACTTAGTTACATGGTTTCCTGTTAAGCTTCCACTTGACTGTGTCCACTGTGTAACGTGACACATCGATTGATTGAGTGTTAGTACTTCCGTATTTCTGTGCTTTTGTTTTATCATTGATCAAAGCCATTCTGAAACTAAGCAATATTGTTTATAATTAAAATATTCTGATTTTCCATTCCCACTTTAGCATACCTTTCCTTTTTTTTCTAGAAATATACCCACAGCAAACCAATTACGCTGTTAATATCTTTAAGTGGGGTTAAGGTTTGTCACGAGAATAAAGAGGTGAGGTTTATGATAAATTTAAACGCGTATCTCAATTTTGATGTTGTAACTAGTTTAAATAAAATAGTATTTTGGCTTTGTATGGCACTTCGTAAATTCATTCAATGTTTTTTATAATGCTTTTGGAAGCGCGTTTATATGGCCCATGCACTTCGACGAATTTCTTATGCTACATGTGACCCGGAAAATCTCCAGTTTGCTTTCCTTGCCAGGGAACCGAAAGCACAACCAAACGTCCAATATTGTCATGCTTTCGTTACAGCAACACCTGAAGCGGTAAGCTTTGAATATCTTCGTGTCTTTTGTTTAGTCTTTTTCATATCCAACACTCGACGGTAGTGAATTTTTCGATCTATTTACCTATATAATCTAAACTGTGATTGTACGCAAACTAACTGTAAACAACAGGTAGAAATGTCCCAAAACCTCGAAGAAATTGTGGTTTTTCATTAGTCTGCTCTTCACGAGCTCTAGTTAAGAATCAGAGTATTATCGAGGCCAATATTTTAGATACTATATTAGTTAAACTGATTTCTCTGTGATTGTCACAAGGGGACTTTTTTCCTTTCTTATAAATTGGGACAGTTAGCGATTGAGACCAATCAGATGGTATTACGCTCAGTTCCCCGATTCTTCCTAAGATCTCAGTCAATCTAGCTGCTAAAACTGGACCAATATCCTTAAAAATCTCACGGGTAAGCCTGTCGGGCTCTCCCTCGCTTCAGATTACCTGTAGTCTCTTTCAACTGTATTCATAGTTGAAGCACTCACATCAACTCTCTGTGCAGATTACTGGAGATCGTGGTTGACCGGAGTGTGGCTGAAGGCCAGTCGAATCGGTCTCTGAAGTGTTCTGCCGATTGATTCAATCTCCTGGATTTGGAATGGATAATAAGCCCATTCTTTTGTGAGATAGTTTCGCCAACAGATGTATTCCTAGTACCCGTTTCCTTGACAAGGAGGGACAGTTGTCTGCTGTTGCCTATTGCCGCTGCCTTTTCCATTGCTTTTGCTTTCGCTGCCAACCACTGTTGGCGATCATTGCGTAGGCTTCTTACTAGCCTGCGCTTACACTGACTTTGCTCTTCATCATGTTCACAGCCAGATGTGACGAGTTCCCGAGCAACTATCAGTTCGGTAGATGCTACTGAGATTCACACCTTTACAAGAACCTTTTGGTTTACCTTTCTAGCAGATATCACTGCTGTTTTCACAGCCTTTTTGATATCACTTCAAGCTGCTTCCATATGGGAATCACTCACATTGCCGCCTAACTGTTTTTCTAGTTGCTCGGGAAATATATTTTTAGCTATGCTATCATTAAGTAGAACCCTAAGAGCTTTCCTTGCCATGTCTTTCCTACATCCAGTAAGACACAGACAAATACGCGCTCGTTCTAGAGCATGATCTGAATCTAAACACGTGCTCCAGAATAAGCAACAGTCTTCTATCCAGCCTCTCCATCGGTGGTTGATAGCGATGTGATCTAGTTGTATCCAACGTTGGGACGACTTTGTGGGTTTCCATGTCGAAAGATGTTTTTCCTTGTGCTTAAAGTTAGTATTTGCTAGGGATAGACAGTTATCTGATCATGGTTGCAGCAGACAGTCGCCATTATCTGTTCTTTGAGCTTTGACGCCATAAGATCCGCCCAGATGTCTTTCTTTTTAAATTAGTTTACCTACTTGGGCATTGAAGTCATCAGTCACTATTACTACATTAGAGCGCCTAACATTTTGGAGGAGGTCCGAAAGGTTTCCGTAAAACTCATATTGTACCTTGTCAGAGCTGCAGTCAGTGGGAGCGTAGACAGAGACGACGAAGAGGCAACGGCGAGCGTCCTTATCTTTATGAGTCCATACTGTCCCGTTTAGGCGGACGGCGCACAAGCGACCTTCTACCGTGGAAGAGTATATATATACATGTATATATATATATATAAACCAATTACTTGCTGACATTTCGTCTGATAAAAATGTTCGTATTCCTGCTAATTAATTTTTGCGCTTAATATCTGTTTCACTTCGCGTAATAGGTTATTGGTATTTTTTTCCTGTATAATATAGTTTTTTTTATCTTGTGGCGTGTTTTTTCTCTTTCTGTGTTTTTTATAAAGTTTGTTAACACTTTCTAATAAATACCTCTGAATATTTCTAGGCCGAGGAACTAAATACTATAATGGGAGAGGTTTTTCGCTTAGCATATGCCCAGCAGCGTCTTAATACGGTTTCCAATAACCCCGTTTTATTGGATCAGTTTGATAAACATATGCCAGTTTGTCAGGTTCAGCAAACTCCAATAACTGTTACATGTTCTGTTTCTGATAACCAAGATAACCCAGAGAGCAAGAATTCTCCAAGGTGAGTATTTTGAGCTTTCTTATCTCTATTTTTGTCGAATATTGTTGCCAGTTTATTCCATGAAATAACATGAAATTTGTGATTTGAAACCCAGTACAATTTTATAGACTATAGTTATGTTTATCAGTTAGGTGTCGGATTTAAATCACCGTTTCTTGTTGAATATAAGCATACGTACAAGATTAGTCGCTACTCTAGAAGCTTCTTGCATTCGACTTAATTATCTGATTTATATTCTATCCCTAACATAGCTGCCACTCTGTCGTGGTGGCCTATCGTGATGA